CCTCCAGCCGCCGCTGCCCTGCTCCTGCCGCACACCTGCCTTTGTTTACCCGCCGGCGCCCTGGGGCTGATGAGTCTGCAAACAGTGACAGCTGGAGCAAAGCTCCAAAAGCCTGGGTCTGCAGAAGTCCTGTCTCCATCACTCTCTTTTCCTATGACCTTGGGCAAGCCATTCATTCATTCATTCGTTCGTTCGTTCGTTCATTCATTCATTCGTTCGTTCATTAATTAATTAATTCATTCATTCGTTCGTTCATTCGTTCTTTCGTTTGTTCAGTCAGTCAGTCAGTCAGTCATCCAACAAATATTTACCAAGCACCTACTGGTGCAAAATAGATTCCTGATGTAAATATCCTAGAAAGGAGGGTTGGCTGAAAACCAAACAAAAAGATAATTTAAGACAAGTGTAAGAGCGAAGGGAAACAGCTTCTGGGAGGAGTTGGGCCCGGCCAGCAGAGGTGGTGAGGGAAGGCCTCTTAGGAGTAACTGTGGGGGAAGCATCCAGGCAGCAAGTGTAAGTCCTTTAGGAAGTGAGGCTGGAGCCAGGAGAATCGGGGTGCTGGGTCGGGGGGAGGTAGAGGAGGAGGCAGCAGAAGAAAGACAGAGAGGTGATTTCACACGGGGTCTTACAGGCCCTTATATGGGTTTACTCTTTAATACAATTGGAAAGGCTACAAGCTGGAAAACAAACATACCAATGATCTGATTGATATTTTTAAAAAGAGCATTCTGGCTGCCATGTGGACAAGGGATGGTGGCGAAGGGCGCAGGCCAGTTAGGAGACTTGTAGTCCAAAATGGGTGCCAAGTGTATCCTGGCCTAGGAGCATGACACTGGAGATGGAGGGAAGCAGATGGACCTGAGCTATGTTAGGGAGGTGGAGCTGGGCACACACAGCTAGCACATTTCCCAGCCTCCCTTGCATTTAGAAGCCGTGGCTTGTGGAATGCGGGCAAAAGTGCCACTTCCAGGCCTGGCCCATAAAAGCCTCCCACATGCCATGTTCTGCCTCTCTTCCCTCACCTGCAGGCTGAATGCAGAGTTTTTAGAAGAGCCACAAGGTGGAAGGGGTCTGGGTGCCTGAAAGACATATTGCAAGGCCACCCCCAAGCAGGAACACCTACTCTGAACTTGTGTTGCATGAAGCCCCCGGGATATGGGGTCAATCTGTTACCACAGCTAATGTTACCATGCCACACAGAGCCACAGGACTTGGATGTGGAGGACAAAGAGAAAGACTCAGGATGACTCCTGGTCTTTGGACTGAACAGCTGGGTGCTCGGGGAGTCAATTTCATTGATCTCACTCCCCGAGGAATTCACTCCTGCCCCCAGCACCAGGGTGACGCTCGTTTCAGTATGGGTGTGCCTTTGTAGAGATTCCGGGCAGAGCACCGGGCAGCCTCTCCTGCAGCTGTCCCGAGCGCCTGCATCCCCTGGTCTCAGCTGCAGCCTTGGCTTGCATCACTTGTCCCCCATCGCTGCTCTAGCCTCTCTCCCCGCAGCCTCTCTGCATTTTCCTTCTCCAGCCACACTAAACTTTCAGCTCCTTGCACAAATTCTTGCTCTGCTTGGAACAGTTCTCTCTCCATCCCACTTAATAGCCGGCATTTATTGAATGCCTGCCAGGGGCCAGACACCAGCTGAAGCACTTCACAAGGATTAATGCATTTAATCATCATGGTCGCCTTGTGCGGTAGGTGTGGCTGATAACGCCCTGGTCATCTTTCCACTCTCAGTTTGCTTGGACATGGCCCTTTCTGACTCTTCCTCAGGCAGCCTTCCTCTGCTGCAGCCTCTCTGCCTCCTGGATCTTGCATCCCTCCCACTGCATTGTAATTCTTGCATTCCTTATTTGCTTCTTCCCTGAAGGCAGAGATCCCACCTTGGTCACCTCTCTGTCCTCAGCACCTTAACCTGACACAGAACACACACCAGTGACGATGGACAAAAGAGCAGCCATAGTAAGTAGAAGTTAAGAAAATGAGCTCTGCACCATGGCCTGGGTTCAGATCCCACTTCTGCTGCTTACCAGCGGCGTGAAGTTGGATGCCTCAGTTTCTCCAGCAGTAAAATGGGATTAGAAAAGTTCCGATCTCATCAGGGGCTGTGGTTGGCAGAATAATGTCTCCCCCATAGATGCCATGTCCTATCTTTGAGATCTGTAAATATGTTAGGTTGCATGGCACTGGGGAATTAAGGTTGCTGAGCAATTGACCTTGAGCTGGGAGATGATCTTGGAATATCTGGGTGGGCTCAATGTAATCGCAAGCATCCTTATATCTGGAAGAGAGAGGCCGAAGAGGGAGAACCAGAGAGATGCAAGATGAGAAGGACTGGACTTGATGTTGTTGGTTTTGAAGATGGAGGAAGGAGCCATGATCCAAGGAGGCAGGTGACTTCTAAAATCTGGAAAAGGCACGGACATGGATCCCTCTCCAGAGCCTCCACAGAGGAACGCAGTCCTACTAACACCTTTTTCTCAGCCCAGTGCAACCTGTGTAGACCTCCACCCTACAGAACTGGAAAATAATACATTTGCATTGTTTAAGCGGCTATGTCTATGATAATTTGTCACAGCAGCAACAGAAAACTAACTACAGTGGTTGTAAGAATTAAATGAGCCAGTAGATGTGTGACATCCAGAGCAGCATCCGGCCCTGAGGACTTGTCTAGAAGTGTTAGCCACTATTATAAATATCACAACTGAGCAAATACCTGTGGGGACGTTGTACCCAGTGCCTGCCCTGACTCAGTTCTCAGGTAGAATCGGGGCCCAGTGCATGGCGGTGCGGGGGGAGGAGCTTGGACTCCTTTCTCCGACAGAAGTCAGACTCAGCTCCATGGACCAGAAGCAGGGCACTGGGGCTGCTGCCTCAGCCTTATTTTTAGCAATGGCATCAGCAAGTTTGATTATCTGATTCCGTCTAGACTCCAGCAGAGCAGAAACCTGGACTACAATCTCAGAGTAGGGGTGAGTGGGGCACCAGGGACCTACAGCCCCAGAAGGGCCTGTGAAGAGCTTTTTGGGACGGTGTGGGGGTGGGGAAGTCTTGTTCTTAGGGCCCACACTGGGGACAGTTATTGAGATCCTAGTCATGGACAGCTGGAGTCAACATGGCCTGGGTTTCAATTCCAGCTCCTCCACTGCCTAGGTCAGTGTCCATGGAGAGAATGCTCCCACCTCTCTGTGCCTTGGTTTCCATTGAGAAGTAGTGTGGTGATAATGCCCACCTCCTACCGCCATGTAGAGGGTTATAAAAGTAGCAGGTAGCTGCTTTCCTTCACCGTTTATAACTGTCTGCCTAATTTATAACTGTCAAGAATTCTTTTCCAGAAACAGGAATGAAACTGAAATTGTTGAGCACCTGTCTGTGCACAGCACATTCACAGACGTTACTAATGAAGCCCTCACTTTCTAGTTCAGGAAGCAGAAGTGCAGAGAAGAGGTCTCGCCTGCCAAGTCCTCACAGCCAGGCAGTGCCTAAGCCTGGACTTGAACTCAAGGCTGTCTGACCCCCAAGGTCACGATCCTTCCAATACATGGCCTCATTAGGCAAGATGCTGCTGACTTTATCACCCTCCCATCACCTCTCTGGACCTCACTTTCTTCATCTCTAAGATGGGGCTGAGGAGTGCCGGCGGGCTGTCTGCCCCTGCCATGGTGAAGGCCCTGTGACATGCTGCTAAAAGATGCTTTGTCAAATGTGCCTGCTGGGCGTGGGTATTATTGGAGCCATGGGGGAGCTGTCTGGCCCTGCCAGACAGGTGACTCTGCCCTGTGCTTGGCATTTTCGGTTCAGTGGCTCTATTTTAAGCTGGAAGAGGTTAGAGTTTGTGTATGTGTGTTTCTCAGCTTGGAAAACCGTCAGCTGCACAGTCACCAAAAACAGCAACACCCCAAGACACCCCCTGCAGCTCTCCTCCTTCTGCCTCCTCCCCTTCTTCTTCCTTTGGGAACCTGAGAGGACCTAGTGATTTTCCTCCGTCCCTTCGTGTCAGAATCACACCCGTGACCTTTTAACGAGGCCTTAGATCTTCCTCCACAGCTCCAAGGTTGCTGGCTTTGAGGACGAGACAGGTGATCCCAGTGCCCAGCTGGGCCTTGGGTGCCTTTCAAAGCACTTTACATCCCTTCCTCATGAGTCTACATCCTTCTGAAAGCTTCGTGAGCCGGACAGGCCTTGCCATTCTCATCTCAGGGGGAGGAAACAGGCTGAGAGAGAGAAAACTGGTATCTAATGCCACACTGGTAAAGAAAGGACTTGAGTTTCTGAGTGAGCCAGCCCTCGGTTCCATCTTGGGTAAGTGACTTCACCTTTCTGAGTTTCAGTTTCCTCATCTGTGACACGGGGGCAAAAATATCTGCCACACAGTGTTCCTGTGAGGATTAAAGTGTGAAGGAGCACTCAGCACCCAGTAGGTGCCAGTAACTGTTAGTACCTCTCCTCCACCCAATTAATTTCTTCTTTCCCTTTCCCCCAGGCTTACTGGAATCTTGAGGCATTGGTTTTTATAGTCTGAATATAGTTCAGTAATTTCCCCAAAGACCAGAGAGCCTGGCAGTTTGCCCAGATCTCTTTCTTGTCTCCCTTCTAAAAGAATGGATTAATTTGACCTCAGGGGACAGTAGGTACCAGCTCCTTCGAAATAGCAGCTGTGGCCTTTGGCAGCCTGAGTATCATTTAGGGATCTGGGTTGCAAGAAATTAAAAGCTGCCTCATGCTAACTTATGTTATTGGTAGGATTTGAGGTCTCCCAGAATCTTCTAGGCACTGGAAGACAAACCATATGGTTTGGGGGGCCCAGAGAGATGGAACCTTGAGTATCACCAAG